TAAGAGTTCAACATATGAATTTTGGGAAGATGCAAATATTCAGCTTATAGCCACTACTCACAATAAAAAAATGTAAATTAAAACTATAATAAGATATAATTTCCCATTAGCAAACATCAAAAAGCTTGATAACACACTATTGATAAAGCTGTGGGAAAACAGGCATGTTTAAGCATTGCTAGTAGAATGCAAAATGAAGGCAAATTCCCCTATGGGGGAAAATTTGACAATATTTAACAAAACTAAATGTGCAATTCCACTTCTAGGAATTCATCTTAAAGATGATAGATAGATAGATAGATAAATCGCTTCAAGGGAAAAAGAGGAAACAACATTCTGTTTCCTTTAACAACAACAACAAAAAAAACCCCGATAAGACCACAAAACAGAGGTAGGAGAAAACTGAGAAGGTAGAAGGGGTATAGGAGAGAATAAAACTTCTGTATAGGTTTTTATATAGTTTAGAACTTTGGAAGCATGTCATCATTGTACTTATTTTTAAAATTACAGCTGAGTGGTAGCACATCCCTGAACCACTGACTCCTCAGGAGGCTGAGGCAGGAACATCACAAGTGAACATTAAAAATGAAAAAAAAAACAACCCCAATGGCTGGTGATACAGCTCAGTAGTATAGCACCCCTGGGTTCAAACCCTAAGTATTAAGAATATTACACTAAATGAGCAAAGATGGGAAAAAGAAAAATTAAAAACCTAAAACTGGAAGCAAATTGAAATAATAAATTAATTATAGTTCATATGAATGTCATACACAAAATGAGGGGAGAAAGGAAAAAGCTAAGTAACGTTGCAGAGTATTTGACTTTAAATATATATCCTGGGTCTAGGGCAGGTTGCAGAACGGGGAAAGAAAACTACACACAAAACCTACACTCTTTTTTTGTAAGTTTGTTTATTGAACTGTTATGAGCAAAGTCATTCTGAAACTATTTTGGATAAATTACAGCAATGAAAGAATAATTGTGCCCATTTCCTTGGGAACCATAGTTCTCACTCTGCAAGAAGGAACAAGCAAATATGGGATGGCAGAAGGTAAGAAAGAACCCTGTAGAGATGAGCTGGATTAGGAGGTACTGGTGAACTCAAGATATAAAAAATATGTATCCACACAGACATATGTACATGTATATACTTAAGTATGTGTTTGTATGTGTGCATACGTGCACATATTGATTAGCTCTGTCTGCTGAATGGCCCTAGAAGCCAGCATATCTCAATAACAATGAGCCTATCTGTACCTGTATTTTCATTTTTAGTATCATTTCTCTCTGAAACAAACCAGGGCTCTCCAGAAAAATCGCCAGTTCTGGGGCTAAGAAAGGACTGTACAATGTAAGTCTGAAATGGGTTATAAGGAATTGCTCAAAAAAACAGTGAGGCCAAGCCATCAAGATGTAGGCTCAGCTTAAAGGAATTCCACTGGCCAAATCTGCGACAATCTGAGATCCAAAATATATAGAGTGGGATGAATTATAAACTGCTTGGAGGAAAAAAAGAATCAATAAATTCATAGCACATAAATTAAAAAGTGACAGAGGAGGTTATCTCATTTATAGTAGAATACCAAGGGCAAACTAGTAAATGTGGAATATAAGAGTTAGAAAATCATCATTTCAAAACCATTGTAGAGAAATTTGGTTCATGTAAGACTCTTAATGGACCTAGGGGAACACTTAATGAGGGACAGAATATTTGCATGATCTTAATGTATTTTCCCACAGATTGCTTATTAGTTGTAAAAGTAAAAACAAAACAAAACAACAACAAAACAGTAGACATAGGGACAACACTTGATCAGGTGATCAAAATCAGTATCATCGAGGTGGAACAGAGGAACAATGAGGGCCTCCAAGTGATATGCTGAGAGGGACACAATGTCATTTACACAATACTTAAGCCAGAAAGGCATAATCTGAGCGTAATCACTAGGAAACATCAGGCAAACCCAAAATGAGGAACTTTGATTATGAAAAACAAAGTCTATGAAAATTTCCCTGGTTAAAAGAGGCTACAGAGACATGGAAACTAGGGGCAATATCTTATCCAAGACTGGTCCCTGAACTGGAAGTCAAGTTGGGGTTAGAAGCGGAGCTAAACAGGGCATTACTGAGTAATAGACAAATTAGCACAGATTAGATAAAAATCTTCTATTAAAATATTTACTGAAGTTTTGACTGTGTTGTGTTTAGGTAAGGCATTATCACTATTCTTAGGAAATATACACTGTGTGCTGACAGAGAGCTTCATAGATGTAGTGGACTCTCAAATGATTAGAAAATATCTGTCTATATACATATATATACATACACATAACACAAGCACACGAACACAAACATGTTGTGAAGATATGCACAAGTGACAAAGCAAATGGGATGAAATGTTAATAACAGATGATCCCAGGCAAAAGACATACTAGTGTTTTTTATACTAATCTTGTCTTGCAACTTTTGAATACACTTGAATTATTTCCAAATAAGAAGTATTTCCAAAACAAAAGAAGGAGTTAGGGGTGTAGTTCAGTAGTGAGTGCTTGCCTAGCATGCACAAGGTCCTCCTAAGTTGGTGGGGAGAGGTACTATGAAGTTGATTTGAAAGACAAAAAAAATAATTTAGATTTGGTCAAAATACTGTAGGTTGATATCAAAATAAGCCATAAATTCATTTTAGTCCAAGTCTGAAAAATGTGGCAAGCTAATTTTGCTTAAATAACTTCATTATTTAATGTTTATAAAACAATTAAAAACAGTTTTAATATAACAGCTTACAAACTATAATATAACCAGTGAAGTAGAGTATATTCACTATATAGTGATGACTTGCCCCAGATACCATTAATAAACTGGTATCTCAGTCTCTTGCTAGGAAGACCTGTTTAATGACCAGGAAAAAAAAAGTAGCTAATAAACACCCTTTATAGATTTGAAATCAACTTTTAGAACATTATACTTGAAATTACATCACATTTCTTATTCCAAAATAATGCCTTGAGACCCAACAGTAATATTATCTAGTTTCACCTTTTAACACTTACCTTTTTAGTTAAATATTAAGATTCTGAGAGGAAAGGATACAGAATTAAGTATTTCATGCCCTGTGAAATTGTAACGTCCTTTAGTTCACACGAAGATTTAGAATCTGACACCACAATATTTTTTATCTCAATATTTGCTTCCTCGGTATTCAGATAGCTTACATTAGAAACCCAGCTATTCCCTTTCTCAATGAGCAGAGGTGGTTTTCTAGGATTGGTTTGTGTTATATGACCTCAGGTCTGTTTTTCTTTTTTCGTCTTGTTTTGTTTTAAAGGAAACAAATTTGTTATAGATTGGAGATACTGCTACTTTTTAAAAGCTTCCTGTTCATATACCATACCAAGAAAGTACAATTTATTTACAAATTATATGCTACTTATACTTTGAACAAATGAGCTAATCGTTTGTTTATCTAATAAACTGAGTTTAAATAGCGATTAGTGGCCACTAGTAAATGAAATAGTTTTTTTATTTAATTCCACTCTGTAACGGTTGTATGTAAAAACGCCTCTGATAAAGGCATGACTTACAAAAGTTAACATTTAATTTCTCATAATTGCCTGTATAAGCATAAGGGAAATTCATAATTTGTAAATTTTCTGCTGCAGACACCGGGTCATGTCCTTGTAGTTCCAATTGACTTGGCTCTATTAGCATGTAATGTTTTCAGCATTGGCAGGGAGATAAAAGGGAGAATTGAGAGTATGGGAAGAAAGTAAATTTAAGTAGGGTAAAAAGGAACCAGAAGAAAAAAAGGAAACAACAGAGTAAGGAGAAATAGAATGTCAGTGGGAAAGAAGACAGAACGGATGGTCAGAACAAGGAAATAATTAAAAGTTTTCTCACCTGGAGGGTTATTCATACAGACTCGGACATGAAAGTGTCTTATTCATGTTTTGATAAAGGGGAACATTTAATTCTCATTCAGAGAGTGTCATTATTTTTATTTCACATTGCTTCTGTTCTTTTACTATCAGTTCATTTTATGTAAGTTAAAATAAAACCTAGCTTGCATGAAAGTTCTTTAATTCTTCCACAAGCTTTAAGTATTGTTCTTGCTAAAATTAGAGATGGATGTTAAAATGGTACTGCATGGCCGGTCTGAGCAGAGGCTGCTCAACACGCCTGGAATTTGTAAGAATTGTCAACTATTAATAAAGCAGATTTCTTCCTGTTGTCATCGTGTACTATCCTTTGAAGCATTCCCTAAGGAATCTTTTTAAACAAGCTTAGATAGAGTTTGTCATGGTATCATATAACCACTACTGAATTGTTCTGAGTTTTGAATCAGCCATGTATCTTTTGTGTGAAAAAGAAAAATAATCTATCATAAAAGTGGGTGAAAGGTGACACTTTCTCTAATCATTATATCCTGGGAATACATATTTATAAATGTTTTCAAACATTAGCTTGGTAAACACGTACTACTTTCTCAGATTGTTCAAAATATGAACCGCTGACCTTAATAATTGCTACAACTTACTTTGTAGATAAACCTGTGGTTTCCTGACCATCCAGCAGCTGATAATGCTCTATGTTAAAGAAAGAGTCCATGTTTATATTTCTTTTCAGTACTCTAATTTTATGATTAAGTCTAGACATAATTTAAATTAACTGTCTCAACTTGTCTTAATGTTTATATAATTTCCTTCCAGTATTTTATGACAAGGTATAGACATTCAAAATACTGTCTCAACTTGTATTACTATTTTTATAATGGTCCAAACTATATTAATTCTTCTTTAATAATCTGTTATTATACAATGAAATTATTGAGGTTATTTAAAGACAGTGGTAGGGGCGAGGGTATGGCTTAGTGGTAGGGCATTTACCTACCAGGCATGAAGACACTGAGTTCTATTTTGGGGGCATAAAAAGGCAATGATGTAACAAAACTCAACTCAAGAGATCATTTTTCCTCTTATCTAAAAATTATCTTTCTCTTTCAGCCAGGCATGGTGGTGCACGCCTGTGATCCCAGCACTTGGGAGGCTGTGGCAGGAGGGCTGTCATGAGTTTGAGGCCAGCCTGAACTACACAGGAAGATCCTGTCTCAAAAAACATTAAAAAATTAAAATTATCTTTCTCTTTCAAATCTTACAACTAATCCATACACTGTAATTTTTAAAGTAGAACAATTTCCTGGCTTCAAAGGTACCAACTTAAAGGTTGCATGGCAATGCTGCCACAGAGTGATGTACTCATGGCACACAAACAAATTTTAAATAGGAATGAGTAACGATGACTATATTTTGGTTTCCACAAGCTCCTACAATAAATGGTATCCTCATTTTTAATTAATGATGCAGTTGACTTCAGGCATACACAGACTTCTAGTAAAACATTCTGGTATATTTCACCCTTAACAACAGGCAATATAATTTCAAGAGTGTTTTTTATAATAGTCACTCATAAATGTTACCACTGTTCTTGCATTATTTGTATAACATTCATAAATACATCCACAGTGTTTCTTCTGTGTCCCTCAAATAATATTGTCTGCCTTTTAAACAGGAGGCAGCTGAGGCAAAATGATATAAAAGTAACTTCCCCACTAATTAATTAAGGTTCATTGTGATTCATGAGCTTCTAATTCCTGTGCTTAAGACACCAAGATACCATTTTCTGCCATCTCTGCTTGATATTTATCTCAAATAATACCAAGATTAGTTTAAGAATTAGGCCAGGGTCATAGATAAAGTACTATAGAATTTTAGAGCTGATAAAAATTTTAAAGATAATGTTCCCAGAATTTCAAAGGAAACTGATGTCCAAGAATATGAAAAGACTTTATAATCTGCATCCCTAGTTGAAGGCATGAAGAGGATGTATGAACGACTAGGAAGAAGGTTAAGTACATTTGATAAATACATAAGGGTAAGAAAACAAAGTCTTGGCAATGGAGGTAACTAGACATATTCTATGTTATCCTGTGGCGGCAGAATGGTTATGGAACCATAGAAAATCCTTAACCTCTATGCAGTTGTGAGCTGTGAAGCTAACCTGCTGAGGCTGTTCCTTCCCTACCAAAGCAACAAACAGGCTGCTTCCCACCATCACTTAAGATATAAAGATCTATCCCTAGATCCATTTCATAAGCAGCAAACACACTGGACTACTACAGTCATAATTTTTTATTAACGGAAAATACTAGCTTTTAATCAAATCCACAGAAAAAATGTTTTAAATAATGATGCATATTCCGTTTTTGAAATGTGAGTATAGAAGCAAGAAAGGAAGGAAGGATGTGTCAGGGACAGTGTTAATCTACATGACTAAGGGTGTGGAGGGAAACCATTTATACTCAAAGTGAAAATCCCTTTCTATTTTAAGGAACACTTTTTTAAAGAATTTCTCAAATGAGTCACCAGGGCAAGATCATATTCTTCCAGGACACTTATTTTCAAAAGAATAAGCTTTTATTCTGTTTTTTTGTTTTGTTTTGTTTTTGGTGCTGGGGTTTGTACCCAGCACCTTGCACCTATTAAGCAAGTGCTCTACTGCTGATCTGTGCCATGAACCTAAGAGTGCACTTTTAAAGCATCGATAAGAGAGAAAAAGTTAATCTGACAACAAGGAAAAAGCAGAGTTGATTTCCAAATGCCCTTTCTGTTCTAATCAGTCCACAAGAGCACGAGTAATTATTGCAAATGATAAAGATGCCAACTTTGTGGAGATGAAATCATTCAAACATGAGTTCTCTGTCCCAAGGCTTCATATGACAGCTTTTCTGTAGCTATTGGTTTCACAAAGCCTCTATTTTGCCCTAACATGATGTGTCTCAAGGGTAGAGAAGTGGATAATATGGTGCTTTAAAAACTTTTTCAGCTTTCAGGGTGAAATCATAATTGTGTATTTTAAACCAGGCTAAATAAAGACACATATGAATAGCTGCTGTCATATTGTTTGCTCATTTAAAATATGAGTAATAATACCAAAAAATACCAAAGTCTACACTCCAGATGTTCTTATAAGTCAAGATGGGGGTGCTACATTTATCCTCTCCTACACATCTCTGAATTTATTCTACCATATAACTCTCTTTACGAAAACTCCTACTTATTTCTTAAATAATTTTGTTTTATATATTTAAAGAGTTGGAACCACAAAATAAACTCATTTTCCCAAGTAATGAGGAAAACAGATCTTCATTTCCATATCCCAAAAGTCAACTGTGTAGAAATAAATTAATAATATAAAGTGGCAGACAACCTATTTATGAAGCTACATTGACAGCTCCGTGAAAACAAAAGTGGCTCACTTCTCCTCAAGAGAATTTGAGGACAGATCTTTGGTAGGAGAGGAATTAGTTTTTTTGATTGGTCTCCAAATCATCACTGGAGATTGCTTAATTCAGTCTTGGGCCTGAGAGAAAGCACACACACATACACCAGAAACCTAACCTCCTTCTGCATAAAGGAAAACCCTCTTGCTAGCCAAAAACTGCAGGATAATGTTCCAAGCAGAGTAAGGATAGAACCATTCCTCATTCACTCACTTATTCAACAACTATCTATTAGCAATTTCTTTGTGCAAGCCCTAAGCTAAAATGAAAAAGATGTGGTCTCTACCGTCAAAGCTTGAAATCCAGTAGAAGAGGAAATAAACTATTAACCTCTCTATTGATTAGGATTCTTTGTACTACAAGTGACAGAAGCCAGAAGTCTACTTCACATGAATGTATGTGTTAGGAATTTACTGGCTCATGTAACTGAATATTCTAAGCGTAGATTTCAGGCATGACTAGATTGAGCAACATCAGGAGGCACTCTCTCACCGACCACTGGGGTTTTCCTCTGGATTGATTTCACTCTCAGGTGAATTCCCACCTTATGGTGATAACAAAGCCACCGATAACTCCAGGCTTACATGTTACCAGCTTAAGAACTCTCATGGAAATACAGCTGTTGCCCAATAACTTTAGCACAAGTCCCAGAACTGATGCTAATTTGGTCTAACTGAGGTCATATTCTCAGGCCTACCCATCCTCAATAAGTACCAGGATGGAATATGCTACTTAGTCAGGCCAGTAAGCCCAAAGTGTGGGAAGGATGGTTCCACTAAAAAAGAAGATGTGATTCAAGAAGGAGAGAGAATACAGTAAACAGAGAGATGTCCACTGCAACAACATTATAAGGCTGAGCGTGAAAAGGACTAAAATAAAACAAAGATAGAGAATGCTAAAGGAATACAGTATAATTGTGATAGGAGGAGAGGGATTTAGGAGCCATGAGGGCAGTTAGCAAATTCACAGAAAAAAAAAAACAAACAGCATTTCAAATACACTATTTTGGGAAAATATTTGGCAGAGATCTCTTATGATCTAGTAATTTGGCTCCTCCATATACACCCATGAGAAAAGAAACAAATGTCCACAGAAAAGCTTGTACAGTACACGAATGTTCACAGCTGTGTTATTCATAATACTCAAAGGATCCAAACAACCCAAATGTTCATCAGTTAAAAATTTCAGATAAAAAAGTGGTATATCTAAACAATGAAATATTTGGTCATAAAAAAGAATGAAGTGTGGATACATACAACAACATCAATGGATCTTAAAAACACAGTTAAGTGAAAGAAGCCAGAAACAAAAGACCACTTATTGTATGATTCCATCTACATGAAAGCTCCAGAATAGGGGAATAGAGATAGAAAATAGATTGATGATTATTTAGGGCTGGAGAAAAAAAAACAGAATAGAAGCAAAGGTTTGAAGTTTGTTTTGAGGTGATAAAAATATTCTAAAATCAACTGGGGTGATGATTGCACATACCTGTGAATATAATTAAAAAATTATTGAATTGTACATGTTATTCTGAATTATAGGGATGGGAGTTATATTTCAATAATGCTATTTTTACAAAACAATACCAAACTAATAGGATTCCCACATCTGTAATCTCAAGCTGGTGTGTATGAGGCTGGGGAATTATACAATGTAAGACACAGTGTGTTACCTCACTTGCACTACAAGTACTGTACAACCGTGTGAGTCTACCTACAGTGGATGCTAGGGCAAGCCGCCCAGACCTCCCTTTGGTAACTAACAGATCTGTTTCTGCAGCTGCTGGGAGTGTGTTGCTGATCCTCCAGAGTCAGTACTCTCCAGGAAAGGTCCTCAGCAGCACAGAGCTGCTTTCCCCAGCCCAGGCCTCTTGCCAGCAGGAGCCTGCACCTAGTGGCCGGTTGTCCTGAATGTGCAAAGACCAGCTCTGTCATTAGGACTCAAGATAGTTTTGAAAAGCTACCTATGCTTCAAGGCTCACCATGTGGTTGGCTGGGGCCTTTGTTGTGACTATATCTCAATTTAACATCTCACTCTACCCACTCCTGCTTCTTTCTCTTCCCTCCCCCCGACAGCCTGCTTTCCACACAACCCAATCTGCAATGTGTATAAGGAAATGCTTACAAGAAAAATCAGAAAAATAGATTTGGGCTAAACCCTAGAGGACCTTAAGTGGCATGCTAAGGAATTTGAGGAAATTATAGGAAAGTCAACATTATAAATGTGTTTAGGGGAAAACAACTCAGGCAACTAGGTTAAAAAATTATCTAGAAAAAAAATTATCTAGAATGAGATATGATAAAGAACAGAGATACAACCTAAAGGATTAAAAGATCAAGGTAGGAGTACGGGTCAAAAAAGGGTTACTGGAGGCCACAAATAGGACTATGGAAATGCAAATGAAAAATGAGAAATAAATTGCCAGACATCATCAGCAAAGTAAAGTGACCGGGTTTGACGAATGATGAGGTGAGAAGTAGTAAGAAAGAAGGTGAAAAAGAATACAAGATGTCAGGCTTGGAGTGAGCTAAGAGTAAGGAGAGTAGCACTACGGTGAGCTGTACCTGTCAGGCGCCAGACAGAAAACAAGCCACACCAGTTATTTTAACTGACAAAAGAGAATAAATACATCACCAGGTTGAGAGCAAAAGGGGTGTGATAGGGACATGGCCACTGCAGGAGGCAGCTGCCGTTATGAGGCCTGGGGAACAAAAGGAAGAGAGCGGGATTATTAA